TGGAAACAGAAAAGATGTGCAAACTTCCGCATACACCAGTAAAATACCCATGACTCGGTAAGCCTCGTTACAGGGGGTTACTAAATGGGCCAGGAATGCCCTCAAGAACTTCCTCGCCAGTCATAATGCAAGGAAGAACGCTATCGATGGACGCATTTGTAGACCTTCTTTCTATGACGGAAATTGAGAAAATCGAGTCGCACCTAATTGGAATAGGCGAAACTCGAGGATCCGCTGAACTTGTTGCTCAATGGAAAAACGGTGACCAATTGTTTTTTGGGAAGGCCTTCGAGGACTGAGTTCTGACTAGTAGCGTTTTATCCATAATAAGAATAAAGGTGGTACCATTTGTAATGAGCTGCGATATTATAGTATCTCCTATGAAAATTCAACTTTTACAGATGGATAAAAGAAGAACAATGACAATTGTGTAAGCTTACGGCCCAACCCAACAAGCTGAAGACGAAGAGACCGAGCAATTCAACCAGGCACTGGAGTAGAGAAGAATAATACGTACCTGATTTTCTTAAAACATGATGATGAATAGCAGAACGAACGACAGGGAGATATTTATCAGCATATATGGAGAAGACGAATGAAATTAACTTGGAAATCGCTTTGCAACTTTGGCTGAAAGCAACCATATTCACGTTATGAACGCTGTTTTCAAGAAAGCGCCTGAACAGTAAGCATTGAGAAGCTCAGGCACAAAGTCGACTATGTATTGACTGAAATTACCTAAGATATTGGATATATCAGTTATAGGCGAGAACATCTGTACAGGGTTAGGTCACAGCATCTACGTTCCACAATTGCAATCGATCTACCAAAAGAAAAGCGGATCAGAACAGCCCCAAGCTCCCCGCTTTGTGCAGAACTAGATTGGATCCGAAAGCTTCCAAAAATAAACCTTGAATCAGGGATAGCGGTGATGCGGATTTTGATCATTTTGTTTATGACATCAACAAGACTACCTTTGGAACATCTATCCGCACTGCAAAGTCAACGAAAAAGCAGCGCATTCGTTCTGGAACAAGGCAGCTAATGGCTAGAAGAGTCTAACTTTAAGTAGACGGGAAACTGGGCAATTTGTGCAGTGCATCATGCGAAGAGG